GTAAACAGCAGCCGATTTTCTGGGAATGACAACAATAAATTCTAGGAAAAAAACATTTTTCCAGGCAAAGCTGTCCGTGTGCAGGCAGCTCCAGGTCCAAACTTCGTCACGACAATGAGAAGAGGAAGTAGCGCCATCGCTGTTCGCCATCTGCATGGGGAAGGAGGGAGAGCAGGGCAGGTGGTGCCGTTTGTGTAAAAACAATGAATTATTCCCGGCGTCAGGCAACAGAAGGGCAGCCTTTGAAGCTATCATTTTCACAGATATGAACACAAAGAGAGAATTATAATAACAATGATTGTGATATTCAGAAAGTTAAACAAATGCCAACAGGGAAACTGTCATAGGAAATGATAGAGACAGGGTTCAAAGGGCAATGACCTGTCATCCCGAGAGGCAAAAGAGGTCACCCCTTGGAGAAAATGGAGCAATATGTCTAGGAAAGCTACAGGAAATGCAGCTTCTATTGAACAAGTTAATATTTTTCACACACACAGAATTATGACATTATTTTCCCCCCAAATATTTCCAATGTACTTCCTGAAGTGTGCACAGTAACGATGCGGTTTACTGGGTATTTTATGACACTGGTATGTGTCTCCGTCTCCAACACACTCCACGCCCAACGCCGTTCTTCACCCACATTGAACATTCTCCCCTGGACACAGGCAGGCGGTCGCAGCCTCGGGGACTTGGTGCACGCTGCGTCTCCCTGCCTGTGTCACCACCGTGGGTGGGCAAGTGTACCCGAGGGAATTCCCGGTCCCACTGACTTACCTCGTCCCAGCCTGCCTTGTTCCCGCGGCCTTTGGGCTCACAGCTCCTGCCTGGTCCTGCACGTGTACGCACTAATCATTCGGGGGACTCTGCTCGTGGCTTGAGTGTTGTTTCGAAGACAGCCCCTCCCATGCCCCCTTCCCATGACCTAAGAGAAGCCTGAATCTATATTTTCTTCTGACGGCTTTAAGGGTTGGGTCCGCCATCTTCTCCACTGGTGCCTTCTCATTCAGTAAATCATCCCTTAATCTAGACTCTGACATCTTAAGGTTTGGCTTTTCAAAGCCTTGAGCACAAGGACCTTGGATTAGTAACACTAGGAAGGAGACTGCGGTGGGCGAGTTAAGCAGACAAACAAGCACGTGGTTCACTTCCAGCCACTGGACTCTCCATCACTGACCTGTGAGTTGAGGGGCAGTGTGCACAGTGGGCTCCCTCCTTATCCTTCCTGTCTTAGCACTTTTGTCATTTCCTTCAAAAAGTCTCTATATTCTCCCCTCCCAAATATTATTATTAGCCCTCGCATGTACTGCCATTGCACCATGTAAATGAGTCTATCTTAACATTTTCTGCTGCGACGTTACTGTGTGTTTGCACCACTAGATCATTAGCTTCTAAAGGGCAAAGACTTCTGAAGGGTGTGTAGCCCCTGACCCATAGTAGGTACTCAGTGAGTATTTGTTAAATAACGTAACGAATCTTTACAGGAACACAATTATAAAATAATTTTTGTGAGATAAGCAGAAAATTTTACATAGAAAATGGTTTACAAGCAGTTAAGTCAGTTCTGGGGTCGTAATATTTGTAGGGTAAGAACACAAATCACATGTAAACTGATCACATGGAACAGGAAGGGATACGTATGCAACGACAGAGTCTGTGCGGCTTTCACAGTGTTCATGGACCACTCACTCTGTGCAGAGGTGCTCTTCCAAGTGCTTCCACGTTTGACCACATAATGCTTCATGCTCACTTCTATCCAAACAACGGAGGATCGTTTTCGTAAAATGTAAAGCCTCGCATTAGACTCCCCATCTTAAGCAAACGTTTAAAACGACACATGCACTATTACGTTTATCTTTACTGTATCTTTTATTTTCCAGACATATTTAAAGGGTAGAGTTGGAATGAGCCTAAATTTGCTTTAAGAAACCTGCCATTTTAACACGCAGTTGTTGTATTGATAAATTTGTGGAGACATGTAAACCCCACGTCTCCCTAATCATATCTAGAAATGACTCAGATGGGCAAACAGCTAAGAACTGGAAGGCTATGAAGAGGCTCCAAGAATTTCCAGTCTACCATTTGGCAGGGCCGTCAGCATCAATTGCCAGCCTGCTACTGTGTTAGACGTTCTACGATCTCCTTTGCCCGTCTGTGTGTGTAGCACTCCCATATTATAATTGGACCAGACGTCATTAAATATTGCAACACGTCGGGCCCAAATTGTGGCAGAATTATGACAGCTATTAAGTCATTGCCTATGATCCAGAATGGATAAATTACAGTTTTCTGAACCTGTTGAAGAGAAAGTAGGAAAAATATATTTATCAGCATAGGAACATCAAGATACATGTCATATCTGTGGGTACCTGTATAGTTATATCCCTAAAGAATATAGCCCTTGGAAAATGAGCGAGGTTGTTAACTCTATTGGGAAGAGGCTTGTGAAGAAATTAGATAATTATAGAGCGAAAAGTGCCGATAAGGAGACACCGCTGCTAGAAATCCCCAGAAAATCCACCATTAAGTGTTTCAAGACAATGAATAATAAAATGTCTACTTGAGAAGATCTTATGATTAATTCCAAGGGCAAGGACCCTGACAGAGCAAGTAGCTTGTAAGAAAAATTACAGTGTTTCCAAGAAACTAGAGACTTAATTTGGAAACTACCATTTGGGTTCTATCTCCGATATCCTGAGCATGACTCTCAGTATCATGCAGCGAAGCTCAGGAGCAAAAATAAGATTCAGCTCAAGAATAAATCGCAGTAATCTTCAAAGAAATAAAGCAGCCAAATGAGTGGAAATCCAGTGTATAACTAATTTATATTTTCTACTAAATAGGTGATATAGGTAAGAGTATAATCTATAAGTAGTAATGTAAATATTTATAAATAAATGTATGTCTTTTAAGAAAATGGAATCTGCACACAGAAGGTTAGACCATACGTAGGACAGACTATAATGAGGTTACAGGTTAAAATGTCATGAAGGCGAGACTGTTTCCTAAGAAATCTCTGCATCCCTTGCATGCTGAGAGCGCTGTGGTCACACATATGTAACACAGATGTCATTCTCTTCAGTAAAGAAACACACTGGGTAAGCATTTCATAAGTATTTGCTCATTTTCTTTTCACAAAAGCCCCATGAGGCAGATGCTGTAATTATGCACACGTTACCCATCAGGAAATAGAGGCATAAAGTAGCTGAGTAACGCACCCAAGTCACACAGGCAGTAAGTGGTCAAGTCTGTGTTTAAAGCCGGGCAGACCAAATACCGACCCAGGAAACTAGAGCTCGTGGCCCCGCAGGCTGGGAGCCCTCCCCCCGGCGATACACACAGTCTGGAGTGTGTACTGGATGAACGAACACAAGTAACAGGTGCTGGAGACGTGGCTCTTCGCAGGGTTCGCCACGGGCAGCGGTTGCATTGGAGGCCGGCTCGGAGGACAGCAGCCTTCCGCCCTGTCCAGCTCTTTAAACCGACCTGAAATAGGGAAAGGCAGTTTTCTATATAAATGCAGGTTTGAATCAGCAACCGAGCACTCCTCTCCAAGCCAGTTCCCAACCCGTAGCGTCTTCATTTTGAGATTTGGGAGGAGCCTCTACTGCTGGGTTATAATACAAGACTGTGGCCATTTTTGGACTCCCAGAAGAGTTCACAAGCATCTGGTCACTCACCCGTCGTATTCATCCAATCAGCGTCGCTCACACACACTGGACAGCAAGGTACATTGCTAGGCATTGAGGAAATCAGGATAAAAATATGGTTCTTTGCTGAATCAGTCTGCGTACTGCATGAATGTTTGATGAATGCTGAGTAAGTGGATATATCGAGGGCACTAAATGTTTAAGTTGCCGTAGGTGGAAAAATCACTTACTCTCTCAGGCTTTTTCTCTTCATGTGCCAAGTGAGAGGACAGAGAAAGAATTTTAATATATCCCTTTCTTGAGTTCATATTTTGATCCCATGGTGGCCAAAATAATACTAAGATGCATTAAGCATTGGCGGTGTTGGGCAGAGTGATATTGGATCAAGACTGTTTTTGACAAGGGTTTACAACGCGAATCAGAAAGAGAGGTGGAGTCAGAGATGAGCAGAGAAAAACAGAAACAGCTACGTCCATGTCTCTGGAAACCAAAGGCCAAGCAGAGAGGAGCTGAAGGAGCCTTCCAGGCCAAGCATCTGGTGTCGAAGCACTGAGAGAAAAATGCAGATTTAACCAAGTTAAATATGTCTGAATATTGGTAAGGAGAATTGTAGGCTGTAGCTGCAAACAACTGTGTCGTCCGCAGCTCTGCTGTGGAACTCAGTTAAAATAATTCTGTTCTACCATTTGTGGCTGTATTTATTTGTTCTGACCGCCATCTTAGATCACCACATTTTTAAGTTCAGAAACAAGGTCTTAAAAAAGAAATGAGGAAAAAATGGTAAAGACCATGAAGCAGGTGGTGCACAGAGTAAAGTGAAGGAAAAAAAAATCTAATTTATAGACATCATTATATATTTTAAAGTGCTATTGCATTTTAAACTTTCCATTAAATTCCAAACTTTGTGGTAGGGGATGAACTATGACATAAATCTGTGTATCTGAAAGCACTGTAACGGACTAGTTAAATGAATGTTTGTTTTCCGAGTTTGTCCTGGATTGCCCTCTTGTTATTTGGCTTGGGTTTGAGAGAGGAAAAAAATAAAAAGACATGGGAATGATTAAGAGAAAAGGACCTCGATAAATGAAAATGTTTCCCATGCGTAAACTGTGACTCCACTAGAAATTTTATGAACCAAGTGAAATGGATATAAGATCATTTGAAATGTGGCTATTATGTAACCTGGGAAAGGATTCAAGTAACTTGCAGATTTTTCTAAGGAAACTAACCCTGTTTCATGACCGCCAATGTCCAGTGACCCTGCCCAGCCCCCTAGGATTCTGAAATTCAGAATAACACCCAATTAACCTTGTAACATATTGTGTGGTCAGCCTCAAAATTCCAACTCCAGCGCTCCCTTTGGCAGCACATATACTAAAGCTGGGACAACACAGGGTGAGGTTAGCGTGTCCCCTGTGCAAGGATGATGCACAAGCATGTGAAGCGTTCTGCAGTTTTAGTGTCAGGTAAAGAGACATCACATCTGAGATCAACAAGCAGGTCTTCCCGTTGCTGTAGGTCCCAAAGTCAGTTACTTCAGAATCCGGACCTCCACCCTGGCCTGTGGCTCAGCTGCTTAGGGTGTCGTCCTGTGCACCAAAAGGCAGCAGGTTGGATCCCCAGTTGGGGCGCACACCAAGACTGCGGGTTCAGTCTCCATAGGGGTACGTACAGGAGGCAATTGATTGAGGCATCTCTCTCCCATCCTCCCTTTCTAAATCAATAAACATATCCTCAAGTGAGGATTTAAAAAGAAAAAGAACCTTGATCTTTTCCATTTGACAGGAGACTGCTTTCCTTCGCTGTTGTGCGTACAAATAAATCTGTTATTGCATTATAAAAAAATCCTTGCGTAAAACAGTTTGGTTTATACATGGACTGTGGTGAAGAGTTAGGAGGTTCTGAATGGGACCTACAGATGTAAAAGAGAAGGAGAAAGGGTGGGTTGGCGGTGGATGTCCTGAGGTGCTTTTGATGGCGCCTCCTGTGTGTCACGCCTGGGGACCTGCACCCTCAGACTCCCAGAGCTGCATCCTGCCTGTGAGCTAGACTCTTCCAATCCGATGCTCTCTCGTGAGACCGCAAAGCAGAAATGGGGGATATAAGGCTTTGGCATTAATGACGATGTGCACCAACACTGAAATGTTAGATCTCCTTCAGCTGTGACCGTCACCAGCTTTGAGAAAGATGGGGGACAATGTGGCAGAGGTGTGGCAGCTACCACACTCGGGGACGGAAGGAAGCTCTTTGAGTCAGTCCCCAGCAGAAGCCCCCGGCCACCCCTCCCAATCTTGAGGAGGCTGAAGTCCCAGCTCCCCTGCTGGGCCTTGTGAAGGGAGCTCCGGAGCAATTTCTGGAAAGTCAGCCCAGAAAGCCTCTTGCTGTCCTCCAGCTGATTTTTTAAGAAACGAATTTCCTGTGTTTAAACATTCTTCATTAAGATGGATAGAATGGTTTCCATTTCCTGCGGCTGAATTTCACCAGATCTGTCAATGGCTTGACGCATGCTGTGGCCCAGCACTTTCTTGCTGTCTCATTTTTTAGTTTTCTTGGCCTCCCTTACTTTGCTCTTCTGATAGGCTCTTCTAGAGTGGACAGAGAAATAGAACTGGAATACGGATGTCTAGTCAAGAGCCAGCCTCATAGTAGCAGTAATACCTTAGAATTACAGTGTGCTCACACTAGATTTTATATATACAGCAGAAATACATGCGTAATATTTAAAGATGGTGTCATCCTTTCATTTAGACACTTTTAAAAGGAATCATTAGTTAAGCCACTGGGTAAAGTCCTTCATTTAAAACTAAAAGAAACAAAACTTATTTTACAGCCACTGTGTTGATAGATTTGGGGACTTGTCCAAATAAGGAGGAGGCATACTTCCAGAGAATTCCCTGTGTGAAAAATTAATAGCTGAACAGGCAGCACTAGGCCAAAAAAAACAGTGTAGTTGCAAAAAGCAAAACAAAATAAAGTGAAACGCACGTCTTCCTCAGGAGCTGAACCTGCCTCACATCATTTGGTTCATACTTAAGTAAATCAACGTGTGACGACAGGAAAAAGCTCAGTAATAGCGAACTAAAAATGCAGCTCTGCATGTAACACCGTAACTAGATTCTGAAACATTTGACATTTTAATGAAGAGCATTCCATCAGAATTAGAGAGACTGACGCTTGCATTCCTGAATCTGCATGATCATTAAGAGCACCCCTTGAAAACCATTTAACTGTGTCCACAGGCCCCTGTCCTGCTCCACAGTCACGTAAACAGTCTCTGGTTAATGAAACGCAGTTTCATCCTTTGCCAACATACCTTTTATGAAACTGGCCAGTTACTTGACCCGTTTTGCCAACAGAAGTACTGATTTTTTCCTATAAATTTTTTCTGAACTGCAAGGAATAAAAAAAAAAAAATCATTACGGGCTGATTAGCTACAAGTCAAAATTTTAAAACACGAAGTCAAGCAGAGTAAAGACCAAAGAGAGATTATTACATTGCCTTTCTCACTTTAGAGCCTTGAAAATGCTTCAGGATAAAATAGCAGAGGAAATAGGAGGAAGAGTTATGGATAACCGTTCTCTAAGGAGAGTCGATCGTGACTCAGCCAAGTTCAAAACCTGGAAAAGTCTTTCCGGGCTGAGCTTCCACCTTTGTCATAGCTGGGAAGAGTCTGTGGAGTTTTAACTAAACATAGTTATGTGTCCCAGAGAGCCAGAAGTGCAGCCCTGGGGAAGATGCGCGGCGTGCTTTCTCTCAGAAGGCGCTGGACAGGCGTGGCGCGCTCCCTGAGCCCCGGTGGGGGGAACCTCAGCAACTTGCACGTGGCAAGCAAGCTTCTCACAGAACTTAGTAAAGCATCTGAAGGATTGCTGAACTTCATGGGCGATTCTGTTTTGTCTCGGGAATCCCATTATTCATTTAATTTCAGCGTAGCAGAAGTTCTCACAAGAGGATGTATGAAATCATACACTGAGAGGAGATAATGTGTTTTTACTAAGGATTTATAAGGTCACTCATATGCATTCCCAAGCGTGTCTGGGCACACCAACCTGCATTTACATCCATCTTACCACCTTCGGGAATTTGCAGACTCCTGGACGCAGAGTCTAAGTCTCACTCACCTTCAGTGAGTACCAAGGTCATGGCCGCCTCCACTAACAAATTATTGATTACCTAGTTAAAAATAACTCATGCAGGGTATAAAAAAGAAAGCAGTTTTCAGTAAGTTAGGCTGACCTTTTGTCTCCTTCTCAAGTGGGTACTAAGGAAATAAAAGCAACCATTCCTTCTGATCTCCATTTAAAAGTCGTTCTTCAGGGGAAAAAAAGTCACCAGTATGCATCCACTACCCCCCTACCTCCCTACCACTCCCTGTTCAGGCGCCACAATGTCCGCCAGTCTTGTCTGCTCTTAACAGCTTCACCCCAAGCTCGCCAGTTCCATTTAGTTCCATGTTTATTTCATGTGTGTCTCCTTCACTAGAGTATAGACTCCTACACGAAGAGGAATACTTGGGCTTCTACTGCCATTTTACCACAATAGAATTTGACAAATAGCATAATTTTCATAGCGGTAACAGACATAGGAGACCCAGGCTGAGAAGGGGTGGGGACGCCTTCAAAGTTTATTTACTATCAAGCTTATTTAAGTTTATTTTTTATTATAATGGATGTAGAATGCTGTATTAGTTTCCTATGTATAGCTTAGTGATTCAACATTTATATGCCTTACGACGTGACCCCTCGTAAGTCCATCCCCACCTGCCAGCGTCCACAGTTACTACGATCCCGTTGACTCTATTCCCCGTGCTGGGCTGTGCATCTCGTCTCCATGACTCACGGTGCAACGGCAAGGAGTTTCTATTGATTGAGTCTGTCGCCCAGAGCCCATTCCTCCTCTCCCCACCTCATCCGCCCACCTTGCCCAAGCATGCACTTATAAGGCAGCTAGTTGGCCGAGTTTGGTGGTGCGGTTTTCGGAGAGGTTTCACGATTTATTTTTGTGTCAGAAGGTCAGGTCTATAACATAAAGTAAATGAAGCTGAAGACATGGTTACGATCCAGACAGAGTTCAATATTGATCCTGCCCAAAGGTCTCTGGAGAGCTGATTTAGTCCCTAGTTTGCGTTGTTCTGTAGTGACATTGCCCAGATCGTGGTCCAGAGAATACCAGCCTGTAACCAGCACTCCATGCACAAGGTGGCTGTGGGTATGCTTGCCTGGAGACTCTCATACTCATTTGCATGGAGACCTCTCCAAGCCTTTAAAACCATACTATCATTGTGATTTTCCAAGAAGGGAAACCCATGTGCAACCTTGCCAAACCTCTTTGAACAGTGGAGACTTAAAACGTTGTTTTATGTTATTTTGGAAACAGCTAACCGTGACCCGGGAACTAGCGTTGCACTGACCATTGGCAGTTGGCTCTGATCCCGAGGTTTATGCCAGATCAGCCCAAACTTAGAGCCTCCCTCAGCTGCCCCTCAGTGAGTGCCCATGAACAATAAAGGAGACCGAGGCAGCGGCACAGACTGATTTCACATCCCAGGGACCACCTTCATCATCTTACTACAAATATCGTGGGGACCGATGCGCTGCGCGCTCTAGAGAACTTCCCCCACCTGCGAAGACTGAGGGTGAGCGGAAAGGACAGGGGAGAATGGACGGGACAGCCTGGTAAAGGTTTAAGCCAGGGGCCAATTCTCACTCCTTCCCCAGAGAGAAGTAAACTAAGTGACTGGATCTGTGCCCCCAACATTACAGCAAAGTTCAGAGGAGGGAGCCCGAACATCCGTGCGCTCAGTGCAAGCCTCAGAGTAACCCGAGCTCGGGCGCCAGCCACAGGCTTCCGATGCCCAGGCAGGTGGCCTGCTCTGGTGGTCCCGCCGCCAACACCCCTCTCCTCAGGCTTCGGTTTTCCACGGGCTCTTGGCCTCTGTGCACAGAGAAGCACAGTGTTTTGGGGGGGTTATTTATTTTTTTTTAGCAATTCACTAATTTCCTCTAAAATAAGTGCGCATATTATTTTTTTAAATCTTAATGAAGCCTGGGGAGGGGGGGTCTCATTCCCGTAATCGCAGGTTTATTTGTATAAGTTAGTTGGAAGTAAACTGGCAGTTTCCTTAAGTTTTAGTAACTATAAATGGGGCGAGTATATCAGATAATACAGAGGGAGAAAAAATTCTACTGGTTTATTTGGGTTTCCCATCTGCATATAAATGCCAGAATCCTTCGTATCTGTCTATCTACCTATGAGAATAAATGGCAATAAATAGCAGTTTGTGATGACTTTGCACTTAATTGAAGTGAAGGGATATAATTCAAATACTGAATATATGTATCATTAATAGAAATGGATTTATGATATTTTGATTGACGATTCAATGGTGATTCTTTCTAACTGAAAACAAAAAAATACGGTAGGCCAGGCATTATTTTAAACAACAATAACTTTAAAT